ACAATATGCAAGAAATCTCCGAATGATTGAAATGAATTGAAGCAAGCGAGATTGAACTAAAGAATCAGGAGCAAATTCGAGTGTAACATCGGGAGGGAATTGAACTACATCTGGAGGGGTGGAATGAGTGACAGGCAGAACGAGACACATACAATTTAAGGTTGGAGAAGATCTCTTCGAAGAATTCCAGCCTGGAGTAAAGAACCAGGGAGGGTGGGATCTTGATAGAGGGTTGCTTCTAGCTGCATCAATACCCTTTGCGGCAACAACCCTCCGAGTGAAAAGCAATTCAGGAGTATGGATGGGAATGGGACAGGTTAAGAGGAGCATAACAATTTGTAAAGGACATTTTGACATTGTTGGATATTTAGGAGGGAGACAAATTGGTAGTGCTTCACGGTAACCCCAAGTTTGTGCAAGTCTTTGGTAACTCTGAGAACTATGATGAGAGTGATTCCGAATGCAGGACTAAGATTCTTGATCGAAGGGCATCACAAGGAAGTACAAAGGGTTTTTCCATCTTGAGAGCAAGGTGTTTTCTTTGGGGGGGCTATTGTTACATCGGTGCCTGAACTAAGAGCAATTTGGTCTTTTTACGCCTATGTGCAATTTAATATTTTGTTATTATTATTGTGGGGTATAAATAGACTTATTATGCTTAGGGTTAGAGGGTATGCAATTGAATTGTGAGTTTTAGGTTTAGTGTTTGGGAGAGATTTTCTACCTCTCGAATTGTAGGAATTGGGAGAGATTGCATATCTTTTAAATTGTAGGTTTTTATCTTTGTATTTTTGTTGAGTTATTTGGATTATTAAAAGAGAATTTTGTTTGCCCTAAGTTCTATGGAAAAATGTGTCAATTTTGACGTTAGAACATATCATGGTCCACTTGATCGTGATGTGTGTGAGCATGCTCTTCTACGATCATAGGTTCCTCTCCAAACGTTTGCCTCTGTCAACATATAAAAAGGTAAGGAAACAATATTTATAGAGTTCAATTTTATGCACTGAATAAATTTTATGGGGATCGAATCTATATGGTGTATAAAGAGGTACTCATGCTCCCATAGTCCCAGACATGGTTCTGCTGTGCCTGATCTCTTTTTCTAACATATTCAAGAGAGTCCCATATGCTATTTTACTCGGCCTATACATCCTTCCCTATCTAGAGGGGTTTTTGCTCCTTCCAAATATCAGTAAACATATCTCGCAAGTGAGTGACCCCTCATAACTCGAAGTTCTGCTAGATCTGTTAATGATGCTGAGGCTGCCACCAAAAGTTTTTTACATCATATATTAAATAGATTTTATTATTATAAAAATTAAGAGTTACAATGTGTAATATGATAGACATGTGTTATGTGAAAAATATGAGCAGTGCCATATGCACATCCTAAGTGTGGCCGAAACCTCTTATAACTATATACTGGGTAGTACAGAACATGGACATGTATGATACAATGATCTAGCTTTTCTAGATGACATCACAAGTGACATGCATGCATGAGTGTCATTAATTAGGCACAATCAATTGCAAGGATTCGTCGAAGGTGTTAATTTGAAATTGAGACATAGGAGGCGGTTTGAGTGGTATGTATGTAAATCATCCTTGCCTTGATTTGATCAAATGAAAACACCAAAACTCGCCACCTTAAATTTTCCAATTATTACTGATTGAGTTGGTTAACTTGGTTAATGGAGTGCAGGAGAAGTACGAGGGTGGTCACTAGAGTTTCGAGGATGGTTTTGAGTTCACAATATTGAGCTTAGCTTGAATCAAGAAAAGGAATTTTATATGCTAAGCTAAGACTGACTCTTCATTTAATCTTATAGTAGAGATATTAATTTAGTTGTTCGACAATTGGGGAGAAGCCATGATTTGATGCCACATGTACTTAAAAATTTTCTCAACAGTAAAGCAAACAGTGAAGACCGTTAAAGCTGAACCAAGGTCGCTATAAAGGTAATCCATGGCTATTCAATCCATGGGCTGGTGGCTGACCACTGCTAGACATTAGAGGTTGGGGATTGATTTAGAAAGGCTTAAGCATTGGTCTCCTGGACATAAAAAATACCACCACTTTAAGTTTTAACTGTAATGCACGTTTTCATGCGTAGAAAACATGATATGTATGTAAAATTTGAAGTTTAGGTGTTAGATATGTGAACACATAGGAGTTGAGTGGTTTGTATGTAAATTGTCATTACACATATAACACCGTAATGTCTCATATCACATCATAAATGCTATCATTTTGAATTTTAAATAGTGAAATACACCAAATTATGCAATAACCGAAACCCTAAGTTGATAAAATTGAAACTTTAGGCGTTAGGAATTGAGTGGTATGTATGTAAATCATTGAGAAATTCGAAAAAAACTAAACCTTAGATGCAGCAATAATAAAAAAAGTTACAATAAATAATTTAAAAAATTTAAAGCTAAATGTCACAATTTAAACCCTAATCCGAAATTACCTAAAAAGCGAAATCTAATTCTCAAAATTTTAAAAACTAAACATGTGGAATATAGAGTGAGTCTCGCCTTCAATTTGAGAAAGAAAATGTGTGAATTACTTGAAAAATGTGGAGGGCATCGAAGTGTTCATCGACCAAGAGCTCGAATGAAAGGGAAAAGAGGAGAAATGAGGGTTTTCGTGTGGCTGGGCGGCATTAAAGTGAGTTATTGACCGACCTTCGGTATACAGTGTTTTAGGATGAAATATTTTAAATCTAAAATATGCTTTATTAATTATATAACTTGAGTTTTTCCACAATTAAGGATGACACACTAGGTATTTTACGCAAGTGCACGTATCGCTCAATTAATATATGATTTTATATAGTCTTGAGTATCGATCCCATAGGGAGGGCTGTTAATTTAAAAACTTAAGAAAAATCCTAACTGAATATAAAGAGACTTAGGCCTTGTTTGGGACAACTTAAAAGTGCGGCGACGTTTTTGAAAACGTCGCCTTGCCGTTTGGTTCCTGCGTCTCACTGTTTAGGCTAAACAGTGAACGCGAGGCTTTACCTGCGTATCGCGTTTGTAGCCTCCATTTTTCCCTCACTGCCCTCGCTAGTCGCTACATCTGGATCGTCGCCCTAGCTACAGAGAAGAAGGTGATTTGTGGTGAAAAAATTTGTGCTCCCTCCTCTTCTTCCTACCCCGTCTTCTTTTCTCTCCTCTCTCCTCCTCCATTGATCTGCAAGAATGTTATGGTATTTTGGGTTTTGTTGTTACTGTTCCTGCACTCCTATGCTTTCTCCCGACTTCTCCAAATGTTCTCCTCCAATGAACTGTTTCTTCTCGAAATTAGCCCCCAAATTTGCGGACAACAGCTGTAGAAACTATCCAGGGCAATTCTGGCGCCTAGGCGCCATTTTCTCGAGAATGCCTGGGAATCAACTGACGCCGAAGCTCTAGTATGTGGTGCCATTGCGCCACTTGCTTGGGTTTCTGGACGTAGTCTGGCGCCTAAGCGCCCATATACGACACCATGGTGCCCTTGAGTGGGGCCTATGCACCAGTTCACTATTTGCTTCATTGCTCCATTCGCCTCCTCACTCCGTTGTCGCTCCAATTTGCTCCAAATCTCTTACCTTTGATACATGCAACAAAAACATGGAAATATCTTCCTTTAAAGTACAATTTCATCAAAAATAAGTATTAAATGTAAAAAGAAAATTAGCATGCTACGAGACATGGCAGTTATCAATAGATTATCTGCGGTAACGTTCTGTCGTTAATTTTGTAGATATTTTAGCTGATAAATAGTATAGAGTTTCTTGGTTAATCGTTTGTCAGTTTTGGATGGATTTTCGACATTTTCAGCCATAAGAACAATCCTTAAGAACCGTACAGACTATCCGTATGTCCTCAGCTGAAAACACTTAAAACTGCATTGAACTGTAGGTCGGTAAAAAATTCTGCCGGCAATGTCTGCTGGTATTTTTTCCAATTTCTAATGGTTTTACGGTTGTGCAAAATCAGATTAAATTGAACTAAACTAAGATTTGGCTAGCTTTATCCTGACATGATGTGAAATTGAAATGGTTAATCTATGTTATTAAAAAAATCCACATCTGAATGGATGCACTTTATCACCTTGATTAATAAATTTGCATGAATGACCATTGTTGAAGTTTGCTATACTCTTCGAAACAATAAAATTTATGAGTGCCACATATCTTGTTGCTTCAAGAATGTTGTTTTTGGTTTTA